ATTTCTTTTTTCATCCTGATCATTTATGTATACATTTGTCTATATCTATCTCGATTCGTTTTGGCTGTTACAAACAACCGTTATGTGAACAAAATTAATATACCCTTGTGCACAAGTGCGCTCGGGTATAAAAAAAAACTTTAGTGTCGCTACCAGGGCTTGAAAAAATGAAAAAATAAATAAATCGCGAAAATTCCAAAAAAATTTACTAGAAAATTCATAAATCCTATATATTATTGAAATATATTTAATCATATAAATTCATAAATAAGCTCAGTTAAAGCTCCTTAAAGTAAAATTTTTTCGAATTTTTGCGATATAAAATTAAATTTTTTCAAATCCTGGTAGTTAGCGAAATCCTGGTATGTTAACATTTACCAACATCTTAAACACAAGAAACGTCAAAATTGTGCAGAGAAAGATGACAGCTTGCCATAAGCAAAGGATGTATGTATACGTACTTAGGTAGATAAAAACTTACTCGTATAATCTAAAATTTCCGCAAGCAACAAAGTGCGCAACACAAAGCCAAGGAAGCGGATAATGACCCAGAACACAGGCAAAAATAAAATGGATATGTGGAAAAAAGTCTATACAAACTACAGCTGAGAGCAGACAGTGGATCTGTCATGAAAAAGTCGACAGCCTGATGTGCCAACAATATTTGCGCAAACACAGGCGCATGCATTTAGCATTACCCACATATTAGTGTGTGTCTGTGCCATTGGACAGACACAATCACATGTTCACCTTGAACTCGTTGTTGAACTTGTGTGCCTCCTGACGCAACGTAAGACTAGCCTTAAGTATGCGCTAAGGCGAATCAAGTTGAGTCGAGTTGAGCGTTTTTTATAGTGGCACATGTACATATATACATATGTATATGTATGTGCAATAAGGTGCCACATAAATGGATGCAAGTGTATGTTTGCATACATATACATACATACCTTTTGGTATGGACTTTGTTTGTTTTGTGGTTGCTCTGTTTTATTTATTTACTGTTTTACTAATTGTTTAAATTTTTTTTTGGCTAACCTCCATACCTCACCTTCTCTGAAGCGACAACAAAAATGTCATTGCATCTGTAAACAACATCTGTATTTCCGCTGAACTCAGGTACATAAAGGCAGACATAAAAGCATTTACACTAGGCTGATCCAAAAATGCATGTGAAAAAGTAAAGACGGAATTTGTATGTTGTCACCCCCTAGGATTGTTCAATACCGCTGAAAATATACTCCTACTATTTTATTTTGAAATCAAAAAATAGTTAGAAGTCGCTCAAAGCGCTCAAAATTTTCTATGTATTTTACATGAGGGAAAAACCATTTTTCGTAGAAATGGTATAGAATTCTTGAAAATCAATATTTTTCGATCCGAAAACCCTATTTCTCTGCAGACTATTCCCAGTAATAATACGCAATTAATTATTTAACAATTTTTTCATAGCAACTATATTTTATAGGTCCGCCAAAAACCCCCAGAAAATCCCAGAAAATGCAAAGGGGGGTAAATAAAAAAATTTAGTAATAAAAAATGGTTAAATAAACAACTGTGTATTGTTATTGGGAGAGTCCTGAAGTGAATCAGAGTTTTCCGATTGAAAAATATTGATTTTCAAAAATTTTATACCATTTCTACGAAAATTTTTTTTCCCATGTAAATATTTTTTGATTAAAAAAAAAAAATTATTGGGGTATATTCTTTCGATATAGAACAATCCTGGAGGGTGATAGCATTAAAATTCCGACTTTTCTTAGTTTGGACGACCCTAATGTACACACATACATAGGTAGCTCTCGATTTCCACGTCGTACGTGCAGTGCGTGAATTTCGCAAACTCATCTCTGCTCTTGCACCTTACACTATTTTTATGGATATTCCTACGAAGAGGAAGGAGCAAGAGCAAAAGGGGCAGTGTTGGTTGTTCCACTTTTGGCTGCATCTGACAGCAGCAAAACATATCTCACTACTAGCTGGCGAATTGTGCGGTATACATACTCGCAGGCATCAACTGCAACCGCAATCACAACCGCAACCATTGCCAACTGCTAAGGGCATTGGCAATGGCACTGTCGTGGCTACCGGACAGACATACATACTACTACTCGTAGCGTTGCCGTTTTTGCTTTTCAGCTCTTGCCATAAATTTATGCAATGTGCAATGCGCAAAGGGATTTTCATTTTTTTTTGGTTTTTTGTAATGTTTTTGGTTATCTTTTACTCGGCTGCTCTTTTGGCACAACGGGCTTCTTCATGCACTTTGAGAGCGTTAAAGACAAATTTGGTTAATATTAAGTGAAACCACTTGAAAGTGAAATAAAATAAATTTTTCAATTAACACTTTAGTGGATTTAATTTGGGAGTAGAGGCGCTTTAAATAATCTTTTGCAAGTGATTTTTAAATACGAGTAGTCATGTTATTTTTCAGGTGGCATGGAGAAGCAGTGGATGTTTTAAAACAGTTTTAAATAACACGAATGTACGTCATGGGGTTCCCAAACTTTTTGTTTCCCTGTGCCTCATTGGAAGAATGCAAGGTGTTTTTGGCCTCAAGTTTCTTACCATGGCTCAAATGTCTTTATATATTTTGGAGCCAGATTGATACCTTGCTTATGCCGCATGCGGCGCGCGGTCCCGCCGTCATCTACATAAAGTTCAACAAAGCACGAAATTCGGAAAATGGAGAAA